CCTTTAGGATATTTCTTCCCATGATCCTCTAGAAAAGCCGATAAAGGGAGGTAACCAACGGCAACGTCAATGAGACTGTAATAAATGAAATGTCTAAGATACAGCTCCTCATCAGTTGATGTGGGGGAACATGGGCCTCTGCTTCTGGTAAGGCCGAAGCAGCCAAACTACACAGTTGACCACAAGGATCCTCAGGAGACGGCTATAGTCCTCACATCCAGACCCTTCTTGAATCTGCTCACGTCCTCACGATTGCCATCACAACTAAGTCAGTTATCACATTTTTTTTTTAAATTAAGGCTTTACATTGAAGGCTAGACTCAACTATCACGATGCCTGGGCAGGAACAGTGTCTGGCAGGGCCCCTTAACATGGCTGCTCATGTCTGTCCTCCTCCTAACAGAAATAAGTGGAAAGATGTACAGTTGAGGAAATGGACGCGTTTATCCAAACTCCAGATGTCCCACGAAAGCACTATTTGCCAAAGGGCATCGATCAATTTGAAAGAAAAAAAAAAGTGAAATGAAAAATGGTGTCCCTGGCTTTACTGGTGCAAGGTAAAGAAAACGTCAATACAAGGAGGGACCCAGTGACCTTGCAAGTCCAAGAAGCTGACCTCGAGCGCACACTGGCCCTGTGAAGTCTCCATCCATCAGGGTCTACTCGTGTCTAGTAAGGTGAAAGGACTGATCTTACAACAGAGGATTGTTGCACACGACTCTGGTGCCTGACTGACTGCCACACTCCCTGTCTTAAACAGACTTCTTCATCAAAGCAGGCAATCAGAAAAGGCCTCGTAAAAAGACTCCTAGTGCCCCCAGCAAAGCAGTCCCATTTTCAGTCAGCTCAATTATTAAAGAGGAGGTAAGTCGTCTCTTCCTCAAATTGACCTTTCCACCAGGAACATGTTTAATTTTTTAATTGTCTTTAAAATTACAGTAATTTTACAAAATGAGCCACGATTTCCAGGTAAGAGCTCTAAGCCAGTTCTAACACAAAATAACAACTTTAAATATTGACTGTTTTGTTACCGAGCGGTTAAAATCTGTTTTGGTTTGTTTCCCTCCACCATGAAGATTTGAGTCCCAGACTCTGCAGCAAGCAAGCCCAAGTGCACTCTGGGAGTTGGGTCTGTGGGCAGAGCACTTGACCTCTGAGTCTGTAGGAAGAGCGGGACAGAGCTGACCTACCCATAGGGCTGGAGGGAGATTAGATAATCAATAATCATTGAGCACTTTGAAGATGTGAGGTGCTGGGGCTCCGCTGAGGGGTGACGAATGCTTCCCCGGAAATTAGAGCTGGCAAATATAATCACTTCTGATCCAAGAACATAGAAAATAATCTAGAAAGACTGTCTTCTATTACAGTCATTTAAATCATAACGGGGACTACACTTTGATCCTATTGTAGATCCAACAAGAGGAACTTTCAATTTTATTTCAGGGAAGATGAACTCATAGAAACCCCTAGAAAGTAAAAGAAGCAATATCATTTGAGGATTTTTATTTTTAATTCTGAAATGGCCTTGGGAAGACTCAGTTCTAAACTACATGCCTCTCTTGGATTGGTCAAACATCGCACACATAAAGAAGTAATCTTTCCACAAAGATGAAATAAAATCACTGTCGATTTTTACCTTTCGGATATTCTGAAGTTATTTTAGAAATCATTGCCTGACTCCTGCTCTAAATATTTGGCAAAGCAGTCTTCCTTGTAATATAGAAAAAGAACACTCAAATTTGAAAGCACACAGACACAGGAAGGACAAAGACAAATATATCGACAGCGAGATTGTGAGCCTAATTGTAGCCGACGGCACTCACAGCAGCAACCGTCTAATCAATTCACATCTTACAAAGCACTTTGAGATTTTTTTCATTTAATTAAACGTTATATTCATCCGGGCCTCTTAGCAATGTGGGTGGGGGAAATCAGTTTATAGCCTTGCCTAAAAATAATGATGCTTACAGTTTTTGGAATATTCTCTACAAACATATACTAGTCGGTCCTTACACTAATGACTTTGGAAACCATCTAAAATCTTCTCTGATTAATATTTTGTAAGATGTGAAATTGTCCTCAAGTGGGAGTTCACGGCATCATTTCTGAGTAGGCGGAGCTCCTGTCTTTATAGCCTTATTCATTGCTGACATGTCTAATATCAAAAACTGTAATCCAAAGTGATTGTTCTTACGGTGGTGAACCCGATGCCAGGAGTTCACAAACTAGGACCCCTGGGGTATGCTTCCATAGATCCAGGGGGGAACATTTACAAGTAGGAACATTGAAATTGAGGTGTGGAAACTAACGTGAGCTGTGGTTATCACAAACATAAGAGCCTACAGGAACGGACTGAAGCATCCCTCCCTAAAAGGGTTTGGACCATGTCCCCTGTGAATATAGGGAATGGCCAGGGGATCGCCACCTAGCACGGCATTGTTTGATATGTTTTGCCTGTCACAGCAAATGTTTTTCTTCTCCCTGGTATCTGTCCCTGGTTTGCTGAAAGAGAAACTATCCAGATAGCTATTCAGCTACAGTTTGTGACATTGCCTTCCCAGACAGCCAGTCTTAGTTTCAACTATATCCATGGCATCAGAGCGTAGAAGATGCCTGATTTTGTCCTTTAGACATAACCTAATGACAGACCAATATTGAAAGTAAGCAATTGCCTGAAGTCCATTTCAATTCACAGCATCCAATATGTCTACTATAAAATAACACGGTGTTCCTACTAGAAATATTAGAAGAAACACCATTATTTAATTCCCATAAGGCCTTCTGGGACAGAAATAAAGCATGATTTAGGTGGATGAGCAGTGGGAATGGGGGCAGATGGGGATGTAGGCAGATTATACAGATGGAACATGAAATGCTCTGGGAAAGACAGCAAATTGCAGATGAGCCGGTGCCATGATAGATGGAATGCAAAAATAAAATAAAATCATGAAAAAGGAGAAGCAGATCCTGCAATGGTACTTCGTAGTGTTGAGGCTGAAGCTGTGGCCTAGTCAGAAAGGAAGTTTGAGACTTCAGAGAAAATGCTTTCCCAAGCCAACATGGAGAGAAGGTGACGTCAACTCTAGTTCCTTCTCACAAGATGGCGTACTTCTCCCGATTCGGGTTTGCCCACTGATGGGTTTGACTGATTGTGAAGGGCAATGTCATACCTTAGAGTGGTTTGTAACTTGGATGGCCAGTACCAGATCAGCAGTGAGAGTCAAAAGACTGAGACAGCCTAGGCTACTAGTGCTAGCCTGCTAAACAATGCACTAAGACATCCACTGTGAAAGGTTGATGCTGTGGCTGAGATCCTGTCCTTCCGTCACTTGTCACTGTTCTCATGGGAGGTAGGTTTCTGCAGCTCATAATATCCTAATCATAGCTCTCTGCTGTTATTGGGAAAGAGGCTCAAATTGGCCATCTAAGACTTCAGACATCTAGTAGTCCCTGAGTTGCTTATTCTCTGATTAAAAATAAACTAAGTATATTTAATTTGAAATAATTTAAACAACTTTAATGAGACTAATTTAAAAACATATAAAAGATCATAAGTATTGGGAAATATTTTTGTTTGTTTGTTTTTCGAGACAGGGTTTCTCTGTAGCTTTGGAGCCTGTGCTGGAACTAGCTCTGTAGACCAGGCTGGCCTCGAACCCACAAAGATCTGCCTGCCTCTGCCTTTAGTGAAGTGTAAGCAATGGGTCTAGAGGTGGTGCTGCATGGAGAGCCAACGTTCTTTGAAGGGACAGCAGGAAGGAAAGGAGGGACAGAGTTCCTTGGTTGGTTGATTAAAAAGTTGAGGGAAAACACAGAATTTACTCCCACTGTAGACCTAAAAGAGTTAGGAATAGATTAAACTAAAATTGAAAAAGAAAAAAGAAAAGAAAACACAACTGGAGAGGGTGTCTGTATAATTTATGATGAAAAAAAATTCCACAGGTAAAATTAATGGAAAAAACCCTCTAAAACCAGCTATTAATAAAGTTTATTTAAACAAAAATACACAATTTGATATCCAGAGCTTCATGAATAAAGTTGGATGTTTACCTTTTCAGTAAAATGTCAGTAAGCCAAGAGATATTTTTTCTTCCATCATATATACATATATTTGAGATTATAATTTAGTTATTACATTTCTCCTTTCCCTCGGAAAAGAGTTCTTTAACCAACTGGTGGGAAATAACATAAAGAATCCATGGGACACATATTTTAACTAAAATATCATTACACATATGCATTTTATGATAGAACATGTTTGGTCAAACTAAAACCAAAAAGCCAAACATTGCAAAAGAACGGCATACTCCAACCCTGCATGTAAGTAAGTTGAAAATAGAGATAAAGTTATAAAATTTATAGTCTATGGTCTCAAGAGTTCATGTTAGAAGTATTCCTCAAAAATATAGTCCTGCTTTAAAAACACGTGTCTTCAAGCATGTACATTGTACTGTCTGTAAAACTAAGTTATCGGAAGCAACTTCATCCCTGAACACAGAACAGCTAGCTGCATTTGAGATGATACACCTCCGCTCTCAAAAGTGACAGGTGAGGCCCGGTGCAGGAAATGGTCCTTTGCTGCGCTCAGGGGGTGACACAAGCAGAAAGAAATGGCCTGTGTGAGGAAGAAGTTATGACATCACCTCATGAAGTGATGCCCCTAAACGTCAGCCCTTTCTAAGGAAGGACAATGGTCACCTTCCAGCCCCACAGCAGGGAGATGTGTAGAGAAAACTGATGGACACCAGCCACACCCTCAGAAGGGAAAACCTGTGGCAGAAGAGGATGGGTGGGTAGTGGTTGCCACAAGCTCATGACATCTTCCCGCCTCTGAGTTACCTGCATCCTGCATGCTTGGTGGGTGAGGAACCACAGCCCCAACTATTGCCTGAAAATACAAACTGGACTGTTTCTCATCTGGTCATGATTCTGGATTCAGTGCCAATATTGTTGCATACCCATGAATGCCAATGAGAAGACACTTTAAAATGCATTATCTAATGCTCACCTGGCAGCTGAGATACCATGGTCCAGAAGGTGGTTTTCCCAGGGTGACTCTTATCATATTCCAGTTATGCCAAGTTCTGTAACTTCCCCAAACACAAAACATCTGACTGTAATTTGTGGTACTGGGGATTTGGGTTCATGCTCTTCCTTCTTATAATGATTTCCCAAAGGAAAGTTGCACCATCTAAACCTTGAAAGATAGATGGTGTCATTTGTGCTGAAAACTCAGATGTGCTGAAAGCATTCATGGCATCTGGTAAATTCTAACTCCAGCTTTGCGAGCCGCAGTCCTGCTCCTGTCTCATCTGTCCAATGGGTAAAATGACGGAGATGGGTAAATCTACAGTTAGAAGCTTAGACATAGTAACCCAGCATGACGCTTTTGGTAAACCATGCATTGCAGCATTGGGAGGGCGGGGAGGGAGAGAGAGAAAAAGGTGGAGGGAGGGAAAGGGGAAGAGAAAAATAGGAAAAGATGTGGAGGAAGGGAGAGAGGAAGAGAAAGGGGGAGAGAGAGATGTGGAGGAAGAGAGAGAGGAAGAGAATGAAAGGGAGAGAGAAAAAGAGAAAGAGAGGGAAGGAGGGAGGAAGGGGGAGAGAGAGAGAGAGAGCAATATGTCACAGATCAAGCCGTCAAGCTGTTACTTGCCTGAAATTGTACCCTGGAGAGCTCCATTGTTCCAGCCATCCTGATTCATTTCAAAGTAGCATGGGACTATGGATGCATCTTCTGGAACTGCCCAGCATAAATGAGATTCTCCTTCATGATCCTGCTACCCATAGACAGCACCCCTGCAAGATCAGCATTCATCTTCAGCTCTGCAGCCACCTCTGTCCTGACCCAGAGAATGCCACCTGAAGTTAGAAGGAAGCTCATTGCATTTCCATTCAGAGTGGCAAGAGACATAGGTGCCAGCAAACACCGTGAAGGAAGTACCTAGGAGAATGGCTCAAGAGGAAGAGTTTGGGCATCTGTGGACTGCACATGAATTTGTGTGTAACTCACACTAAGATACCTGCGAGGTGGTGAGAGGCGCGGAAAAGTCATTTCAGCTGCTGACAGCAACATGCCGTCATAATTACAGCTGCCTCCTGCCTCATCTTAAAATATAAAACCTTTGAGCTTCCTTTTCAGTGACTCACCCTGTGGCTTCTTCATAATCTGCCCTGAAAATCACAACACAAAGCCCCCAGTGGGCCTTGAAACCAAGAGGAGGGGCTGTGTGTCTGATTAGCAATTAAAATAAAACGGGAATGATGTACTATTTCTTCCCTTCTCCCGCCCTCCATTTTCCCTCTCTTCCCTCTCCTTCCTTTCTTTGCATTCTTCATCTTGAATTCAATAAATATTTACCCACTGTTTGCATGCTGTGCTTAAGGGAATACAGATATGAAACAGAACTATCGTATTTCTGAAGAGAGCACAAAACCGTAAGAAAGGAGACGCGCTGGATTTATTATGTGTCTTTCAGGAGCTTTCAGAAATCCTTTCTACGGTGTATATCAGGGAGAATATATAAGAGTACAGGGAATAGTGGAATCTGATTCTCTCCCTAAACTGGCAAGAAAAGCAGCTGAATTCAGGGCCAGTGTATATTCAAATCCATCAATTCAAAAACCATGTGTTCCCTGGATAATAAGAAGTAAAATTAAGCAATGGGTCCAGGGGTTGGTGTACAGTCTATGGGAGTTTAGAGGAACCTATCGAGTCCTGGAAATGTAGGCATGTTCACAGTTCTGACAATGCGTGTAGGTTTTGCAGGCCTGGGGTTTGGACAGGAGTCCTTCTCTCTTACATGGAAAGCTGCGTAGAAGTGGATCCCATCCAAGGCACTCTGGGAGCTACAAGAGTGACAGAGACCTGGTTCTCACCTTCCAGAGGCATGTAGTCAGCAGGTCAAGATGACGACAGAGAGAGATGTATTCTTCTTGGACGACAGGTCCATGAGAGGAGTTAAGTTCCACAAGCAGAGATGGACGGGCAGGAATATCACCCCTGCCTCAGCACAGAGATTGCCTTAGTGGTAAAGATGTCTCCCAAGTGGATATGGGGGGATAAAGTAGGTTCTGAAGGGTGTAGAAGAGGACCCCTGTAAGCACTAGGACCTGAGCTCAATACTCAACAGACATGTAAAAAGCTGGGCATGGTGGTGCACGCTCGCGGTGCCAGTGCTGGCGAGATAAAGAAAGGAGGATCCTTGAAACTTGATAGCCGCCAGCTGGCTCAACTGAACGGGAATTTGAGGCTTCAGTTAGAAGCCCTGTTTTAAAAAGTAAGGTGGATTCTTCCTGAGAACAAGACCAGGACATATTCATGTCCACACACACACACACACATTCACATGCACCTGTACACGCATATGTACATGCATACACACACAAATACGGTTTTCTAAAGGACAAATACAGGTGGGGAAAAGCAAGGCAAAACTGGGCTTCTGGAATAATATAATTCAAAACAAAAAGTGGCAAAATGTGAAGACTTTCCGATGCTCCTGTTGGTCCCAAGTGAGTAGAGACATGGGAGCTGTTTGGGAGAAGACCCATGAGGCTTGGGTTGGCAGCAGGAAGGTAACTCGGAGGGTAACGACTGAAAGACCAAGTCCAACTTTGACAACCACCATTGACCCTTTCTGCCTGCTGATGGCAACGAAGATTGTTCTTAGGTACGAAGGCTGCAAATGCCATTGCTCTGAGAGCCCCAGGCCTCTGGGACGTGCTGTTTCATCAGAGGTCCATGCTCAGATGTGACTTGGGAAAGTCACACTAGAAAGTGCCCATTCTGTCATCTAGAGAAGAGCATCTCTAATCAAAGGCTGCCAGCTCCTTGACCTCTTAACCTCGTTTCCAGCTCTGCCGCCGCCGTGGAACTTCCGGAGCCACAGCTTGCTTTGCCAGTCCTGGAGAATGTAGCTCACGATGTTAGACTATTTTTCTGGTCTGAGCAAAGCTTTGGGGTTCACCTTCAGCACTTCACTAACTGGGTGTGACAGCTCACGTCTACAATCAAGAGGTAGAGGCCCCGGAGGATCAGGAGTTCAAGGTTATCCTTGGCTATGGAGTGAGTTCAAAGCCATCTTGGAATAGCTGAGACCTTGCCTCAAAAGTTTAAAAAAAAAATAAGGCAAAATGGAGAAGGACATGGGTGCCCCTGGGGATTTTTCTGTAGTGCGGCAGAACAGGCCTTAGCCTGCCTCTGACTCTCACTGAGGCCGTGCCTCTCACAGACACTGTCCGCATTTTCTGTATCTTTAGAAATGCCATCTCGTATGCTCGTTTACTGATAAACAATAAAGGACGTAGTATCATCAGCTGGAGTTGGATGAGGATCCTGTGAGAACTGAAGCAGCGGGAAGAAACTGAAATTTTGGGGACAGGAAATCCCAGCCGTGCGTCCCAACTCTGAGGCTGGCCAGAGAAAGAACAAAACAATAAAGAACAAAACGATATCCCGTTCTTCTTTTTTTCCCCCTGCCCACCTTGATCACTAAGAACTAGGGGAGAAAAGGGGAAAGGAATATGCCAATGAGGTATGAAAAAGTCACGGGCTGTGGTGGCAATAGAATATTGCGGCATCCACTTCTGCAGCAACTAAACATGTAGAAACACAGATATGTTCGTTCACAGAAGTTCTTTGAAGGAGTCTTCTTTATCGCAGATATACAAGTGGACAAGAAGATGGGACAGATAAATAAAACATTCGCTCCTACAGTTCAGCTTTGAGTCGCTATTCGTCTGGGCTGTTGAACCCCCCCATTATATACTGAACTCATTTAGAGAAAAGGGATCCCCTTAGTTTCTCTGATGAAATAAAAGCAACGCTTCAACCTTTTCTCCACCCTTTTCTGTCGGGATATCACTCGGGAGAAGAGTGTTGCTCCACCAGACACAGCATCAGCAGCACAGGAAAACCACCTTGGAAAATAACATCAAATTAAAAAAAAAAAAAGAAGAAGAAGAAGTCAGTGAGGCTGGCTGCAGAGCCACAGTGACTTTGAAGGCACAGAATAGGAGGGACTGGGACTTGACTCTTCCTTAAATCCCCTCTTTATGAAAGAACCATGAACTAAATTTGTTTTCTCAAATTGGAATTTTTTTATTCAAACTGAACTTAGAAATATTTCTTTTACCTTTTAAAAAACTATTTGGTCTGTATATTTAAAATACTCCTACAATTCAGTGGATCAGGAGACTTACCTCCAGCCTGTCTCTTTCTTTCTTTTTCTTTCTTCTTTCTTTTTCTTCCTCCTTCTTTCTCTCATTTCAAGAAATGTGGAAAACATTAACGAAAATTGTGCTGGTCTGTACAATTTTATTCTGTTAAAGACAGGTTTTATGATACATTTAGCCTTTTAAATGCCACTAATAGTCTCTAGGGACACATGGTTTTTCCTCTCGTGCAGCAATTAAGTCCGTTTCAATGCTATTTGGGTAAGTTGAAACAATTCAGTCACTGTGTGCCTGCGCTCAGGTACCCACAGCACACCCAGAGGGGACACCCAGCCTTACCTGAATAATACAGTTTTACCAACTTCAGACATGTACCAAAGGATTTGCCCTTTCCGCATTCCACTGGCTTATTTTGCCCTCATTTCTTCCAGAAGGGAGTAATGAGCCCTTGCACACCGTGCGCCGGCCAGAAGAGTGACTGGGTAATGAACGTGATTAATCACACTTGCCCTCTCTCCTCCCTGTCTGCAGCTGGAAATGTGTTTCCCACTAGAACCCAGCAAGGCTTCTTGGATGTATTTATTTTATTTCTTCAATCGAGTTAGAATAAAGATGTGTGTGTGTTTTGGGGGGTGCTCATGGGTGCGTTCTACTTTGGGGGTGAAAGTGTATCTTGGTCGCTGGAAATCCGTTCATAGAGCATATTTGAATGTTGCTCAATTATGAAGCTCAATTATAATCAAATTATCTTATCAAATAAGGATGTCAGAGGAAGTAATTTAGCGAATTCCAGATCCGTACACGTAGCTCATACTTTTAACTTAGAGTTTAGTCACTTAGAAAGAAGTCCAGGAAAGTGGCTGTTTCAGCACCAAGTCCCCAAGAAACAGCTATCCCTTCCCGAGGCCACGTGATCTGCTGAATTCGCTCATTAGGAAAACTGCTGGAAAAAAAAATCTTTTTTTTAAAGTGCAGTCATAA